GGGTGAAGAGGACACGTACCTGGTGGAGGTGGAGGTCGGCATTGGTGTTGACATCATCACTCGCTGGTAGTCGAGTTGTCTGGTTGCTTTCATTGTTGTAGTTGTAGGCTTAGGCGGTAGAGTAGATCGAGCGCCTCGCGCCATTCACAAGAGAGAGCTACATTGGGTTATGCTGTTGGTGTTGCCATGTTGGGCTTGGACATTGACTCATGATTCTTCTGTATCATTCTCAAATGGATGGTTACTCGGTTCCATTGTGCTATCTGATCTGGCTTTGACTACTTGGACTTCAGTGTGATTTTGCAATCAGTATTTACGTGCTTCATCCATATTCATGTTCCTTGCACAAACATCACTATCATTTTGAAACTGCCAGCTCACTACATGGTTGCACTGAACAAGTCTACGAAACAAACTTACAATAGGGAAAAAAAAGAACTAGCTTACTATCCCACTGCAGTGCGAGTGAGCGAAGCTGGTGTTGTCCCTCAGCCATGTTATAGATGGAGATTGTGTACAGCATGATCATAGCAAGATTGCAGAAATTAGAGACTGGCTGATGACCCAGAATCTCCCCGAGTTGCACTCGTAGGCTATTCGATTAAGGGACAAGGATTGCACTTCGGCTGCTTCTCTTCTCTCTCTCTCTCTCTCTCTCTCTTGCACTGTTCATCACTCACTGTTCCTCTCTCGGCGTCCTAGATCTACCCTGAATGGTAATACGGGATGCCTTGCTGACCTCAGGTGGTTATGGCCACCGGGGAACCTCTCCCATATCGCCTGGCTCCTGCAGCCTCTGCCTTTTTTTTTTTTTTTTTTTTCTAAAAGCCAGGGTGTTGTAGAGGCCACGAACGAGACCCGCGGTGATTGCTGGTAGTGGCAGCCATGTTTGTCCTGACAGGATAGGCCACCTACCCTACCCCCTGTCCCTACCATGCTACCTCAGTGTGACCAGCAGTCAGGAACATCGACCTACCAGTATCGAGGGCAACTTGGACCAGACAGCAGTGACACACACCAAGGCTGGGCCAACCTCCCAGCCCTGATGGAAGCGAAGCGGACGAACCTTGCCGTACGGGAACTTCGGACGCCAGGCTCATGCAATCTTCTACAGGCCCAATTCAGAGAGTCTACCCAGCAGGATTACCTAAGCAAGGCAGGCCAGCACCCGCAGACACATCCTACCGTGCAAGGGACCTGACTGTCCTCCTCTTGCTGGAGTGTATCATAACGCATGCATGGACAAAGATTCACACACAAGATGAAGCTCACACGTAGTCCAAATGAGATGGAATAGAACCAAGATGCGCAGATCAATTAATCATTAACACATTATACAAGAGTATATTGAGATCCAAAGTTCAGCGCAACATTATCACGAGTCTCTCTCTTCTATCTCACGAATGGGGCCTGGCTCAGCCAGCGCCACCTTCAGGAATCCAGTACAGCGCACCGCAGGTAAGTATCCACCATAGCCAGATCCTACCCCACTCGCCCTTTCTCTTCTCTCTTGAATCTCAATCTTGGTTCCTTTGTCCCAGCATACATGCACACTCCTACCACGAAGATCTACTTTGAATGCTACTCATTGAAGACTACTGACTAACCCTTCTACTACTACTACTAACATGTTGGCGCAGCTATGGCTGCCTCTTGCAAGCCAGCGCCCAGCCTTCCTCCTCTTAGCGCAGCTTCTCCTGCCAGCGCTCACCCAGCAAGCTAACGCACAAGTGCTACAACATTTCCACGCATCAATGCCACTGGAGAATCTGATCTCAAGGGAGGCTGGCCTAATGCTTTATACTGTTGGCCTCCCTTGGCGAGGTCTGTATTGGCCTGTATTGGCACTTTGGGCCTTCCTCAGTCCCAGACCCATGCATATGTGTGTGTCCTAGTATTTTCCCCTCAGGATCTGCTGCTGCGGCGGCCATCTGGCCTGAATTTCGGA